TAGAACTCGTAATGTAGCCATATATTAAGAATCAATACCCATTTTTATTCAAATAAGGCAAAAAATATATATATTTGAATAAAAATAAGTAGAATGTTCACATTGATTTTATCATCTTTTTTAAATCGAGACTTACCAAAAGCATATTGATAATCGATTGCCTGAGAAAGTATCACGATTCATCACCATATCGATATATTGTCACACTCCTGGGAGGGGGTGGCGAGCTACTGGTGGCTCCCAAGCTACAAGTTGGAAACCCCTGCTCTAGGACATTTTTTGCCTCCAATGTGGGTTTATTTGTATAAGTTAAGTTTATTTGTGCAAGAAGTAGTTTAAAGTTTTATCATTGAGATTCATTGGGAATATTTTAAAAATGTGTCCCACAAGGTTTCATTTTGGGCCCGATAAATTTTTCTACCACAAAACATGCGAATTATAACGCAACCAGTTCGTACAACGGGACAGTAATACACTTTTTTGCATTCCATGGCTGTTTTTAGACTCCAGCCAATTGAGAACTTTAGCCGTAGACCAGGGGTGTCAAACTTATTTTGGTTGCGGGGCTGGTCAGGGGCTGAAAAAATAAGTGGGTTTCATTTATTAATTTGTTTTGGAATATGAAGGTTTCTAAATAATTGACTTGTTTCACATTAGTTGGATTGGACTTTCTTTTCTGATTAGAATTAGTTCAGTTCCTGTGGACTGAACCAAAACTGGACCAAATATTGAAGGTATACAGGAGGATTTTCTACTTTTTGTGTGGATCGTCAAGACTATTGGTCCTCCCAACTGTCAATCATTCTGCTGTTACGTGCTCATCTAATAAGACCAGAGAGATTTGTTCAAAAAGTGGAGAGGGCGGTTCTTTCCTAAGAAAATTGGGAAATCCTTTTTTTCTTGTGGAACTAAATGTTATGGTTGTTTTCTTAGTAATGAATATGCAATTGTCGCCAAATACCATTTATGCTGCTATTTAATGTAATAATTTAAAATCATCTCAAGGACCACTGGAAATGGTCTCGCGGGCTGGATCTGGCTCCCTGGCCTTGACTTTGACACCTGTGCCGTAGACAAATCCGATGGAATGGCATTTTGAAAAGAGACAGTCATGCTTTGTGAGCGGTGGCGTAGGCGTTAAGCACTCCATGTGGCTTCTTAGTCATCAGCATTCCAAGTTTATTTACGTTAATCGCGAGTTTTGCAAAGTACATCTTGACCCAGAACGGACTGAATGATGCATATGGGAACCAAGGAAGCACTAATACAGCGTGGAATAGATGCATTGTAGCCTTCGAAGTGGATTTTGAGAAAAAGCATGCTTGTTTCCAGGGCTTTTGGGTCAGACTGGTCTCATTATGGATGTGAGTGTGGTTCTTATCACGCCTGCTGCTGGGACACTCCACACATGTCGCTAAAGCATTGATTAACCCGCTACTTTCAAATACACTTGGACTGGTTTTTGCGTGTCCTTAATCCACAGACCTGGTTTTAAAAGTCGGACAAACACCAAGATTTTTGAATCCAGGGAGAATGTCTTTCAACGAGAAAGTTATCAACTGTAGTTATTGCAAACGGGGATGAGAAATAAGAAGCAATATGTAAGATATTCATTTCAAGTCAACATTAAAGGGCCCTAATCTGTCATCATTAAAGGGCCCTAATCTGTCATAATTAAAGGGCCCTACTCTGTCATCATTAAAGGGCCCTAATCTGTCATCATTAAAGGGCCCTACACTGTCATCATTAAAGGGCCCTACTCTGTCATCATTAAAGGGCCCTAATCTGTCATCATTAAAGGGCCCTACTCTGTCATCATTAAAGGGCCCTAATCTGTCATCATTAAAGGGCCCCAATCTGTCATCATTAAAGGGCCCTAATCTGTCATCATTAAAGGGCCCTAATCTGTCATCATTAAAGGGCCCTAATATATCGTCATTAAATGGCCCTAATCTGTCATCATTAAAGGGCCCTAATCTGTCATCATTAAAGGGCCCTAATCTATCGTCATTAAAGGGCCCTAATCTGTCGTAATTAAAGGGTCATATTCTGTCATCATTAAAGGGCCCTAATCTGTCATCATTAAAGGGCCCTAATCTATCGTCATTAAAGGGCCCTAATCTGTCATCATTAAAGGGCCCTAATCTGTCATAATTAAAGGGTCATATTCTGTCATCATTAAAGGGCCCTTATCTGTCGTCATTAAAGGGCCCTGATCTGTCATCATTATAGGGTCATATTCTGTCATCATTAAAGGGCCCTTATCTGTCGTCATTAAAGGGCCCTGATCTGTCATCATTATAGGGCCCTAATCTGTCGTCAAGGGCCCTAATCTGTCATCATTAAAGGGCCCTAATCTGCCATAATAATAAACTGCTCTTTTCCAATACTTGAACAGTAGTTCAGAGTTATTGGAATTTCTAAATTACTTTTCCAGCCCCTAAATCTTGTTATTGTCATTTGGATGTCCCGCCCTGCACCGTTTCACCAATCAGAAAGTCTGTGATCCGGGTTGCCAGAACTCACCGCGTGGAGCTAATCTCACTGGTAAAGTACCATGTGGCGCAGAACTAAAAAAGGTCTCGTAATGATTCTTCTTTATGAAAAAGGTGTTGGTTATAGATTTTTTGTTGACTAAACTCTTGTCTATTCAGCTGTTATGGTCCCAGCTGGATTCGTCTGCATATCTGGCAACCTGAGTCAGGCAGAGTGGGAGAGGCTGCAGGACATATTTTGGCCACATTTTTACACACTGCTCCTTTAAAATACACAGAAATATCTCCTTTTGGAATGAGAAAATACAGCAACAGTTCCATCTTTTTTACAGTGTAGATGCAAATGGACTTGATAAAAAATGCCACATGTTTATAATGGAAATGTGAAATGATGCCAAAACAAATCCACTCAACTGCATTTCAAAGTCAAAGCAGTTCCTGAATCTGGACCACCCACGTGTCTTTTACAGCGTTTGGCGACGGCCTGAGAAAATCTACACGCTCCAGAGACGCAAGAGCAATATTAGAACCGACTGATTTACGAGCGGCAAACACGCTGTTATTACGCCGAGCGCTTTGAGTGAAGTGCTGTGGGTTTGGTCGGTGTGGGCCAAGCGTGGGTCAATGTGGGCCAAGCGTGTTTTCAGGTCGAGTCTTGACAGTGACATCATAGTTTGGGCAGTTGTCTGAAAGAACTGATAAAGAGGATTAAAGTAACACACAAGAGCGGGGAAAGAGGAGAAAACAAAAGATCAAAAGGACACTGTCTAAAATTGTACGTTTTTACTTTCCAAAAAGAGAGATTTTTTAGGCATTCAAATCCAGATCTAGAGTTTTCTATATTAAAAAAACTTCTTTCTATTTTGTTATTTGCAAATGTCTCAGTCTCAGCCTAAAGCCCAAAAGGTAGAATCCGGTTCATTGACTTCATGAATGAGCAGATTTACAATATTTGTTGTAGAGAGCTAAGTAAAAACTGCAAAAAGTGAAGCAAAAAAAGGCAAAATATTGTCAATTTTGGATTAATGTGTCACACAAAGAAAAATAAAAAAAACGCGATAAAAGAGTCAATAAATTCCAACATTGAAACGATGCTGAGATATTTGGCTTTTATTTTTCTATAGCAATTTCGGACTTATTTTTCATCACTTTTTACAGTGTATGGCGCCGTATGATCCGACCACAATCCGATTAGCGCCTTGTTTACTGTTGGGAAACTTTGAATCTATAAATTATGTCTTTTCCGCTTCAATAGTTTGCGTGGGATAAATCTATACGGCTTTTCTATTTGTCTCAATCTGCTTTAATGTCCCAAAAAATGTGAATAAAAGAGAAAAAATTTTAGTCAAATTTGAGAAATACATGTGAAGTACAAAGGATATGAGGTAATAATTACTTTAATCAAATGTCATTTCTGTATCTTTTTAAAACAAGATCATTTTGTTTTGTCCAATTGGAGAATCTCAAACCTCAGTCAGTATGTGATTAAAATAAGACACATTTTTGCCACATTTGAGCAATTTTTGACTTATTTTTCATCGCTTTTTGCAGTGTATGTGTGGTATAAAAGCTTGAAAGACCACTTGGACAATACTTTTGAAATACATAGGTCTGGATTGGAAAAGGACGGACTGGAATGATTACTAACACGTCACATATTTGGAATTATTGTCACTCCGTTTGTAAGAAAAAGTATTTCTCTTTCCTTTCACAAACACGGAAACATGACTTTGTGTTGGATGTTTCACACATGAGCCCTGACCTCTGACCTCTGACCTCTCACTCAAATGTGTAACTGCTGACAATAAAAGTGAATTTGAGTGTGTGTAGCTGTGTGTGTGTGTGAGGCTATGTATGTGTTGCTGTGTGTGTGTGGTTCTGTGTGTGTATGTTTGGCTGTGTGTGTGTGAAGCTATGCATGTGAGGCTATGTGTGTGTAGCTGTGTGTGTGTGTGTGTGTGTAGCTATGCATGTGAGGCTATGTGTGTGCAGCTGTGTGTGTTGCTGTATGTGTGTGGTTCTGTGTGTGTATGTTTGGCTGTGTGTGTGTGTGTGTGAAGCTATGCATGTGAGGCTGTGTGTGAGTGTAGCTATGTGTGTGTAGCCGTGTGTGTGTTGCTGTATGTGTGTGTGTGTGTAGCTATGTGTGTGAGGCTATGTATGTGAGGCTATGTGTGCGTAGCTGTGTGTGGGGTTGTGTGTGTGTGAGACTATGTGTGTGTAGCTGTGTGTGTTGCTGTTTGTGTGTAGCTGTGTGTATACACTGCAAAAAGTGATAAAAAATAAATCCAAAATTGCTCAAATTTGGCAAAATCTTAATCTGAGCACATTCTGACTGAGTCTTAAAAACAAGATTCTCCAACGGGACAAAACAAAATGATCTTGTTTAAAAACGATACAGAAATGTCTTTGTTGGAATGAGAAAATAAAGCAACAATTCCAATGCCTTTGATACAAACACTCAATCCAAGCTTTTACGACCTCATATTGGATCGTTTTTTGCAGTGCACAAAGGAAAAGGACACTTCTCTTTGTAAATATGGCGCTTGTGGAGACTCAGGGCACTTCCAGAGAGGAGCTACAGCCTCAAGGTCCGATTCTGGAGGAAGTGTGAGGCTGAAAAACGGTTCGGAATCAAAGGAAGGTCAGTCACTGGACGAGCCGAGACACAGCTCTTTACAGACTCTGCTGGAAAACCAAAACACAATATTCCACTCAGTTTAGGAGAGTTCTTAAGTAGATTTATACATGTTTTTGAGAGTTAAAATACATCTGTGCATCTGCGATAGAATACATGTGCAAATAATCCAACTTGGAGTCAATGCACTGCAAAAAATAAGACAAAATAAGGTCATAAATGGTTGGATTGAGTGTTTTTTTTATCTTAAATTTGACACATTCTGACTGATTCTCAATGGGACAAAGACATGTAGTTGCTTTATTTCCTCATTCCAAGTGAGATATTTCTTGTATATTTTTAAAACAAGATCATTTTGCTTTGTCCCATTGGAAAATATAGTTTAAAATCTAGTTTTGTGCTGAAATGAAGATGCATTTTGTCAAATTTGAGCCATTTTTGACATTTTCTGAGGACAACGGTGATGATCCAGAACTCTCCACATTCAACAACATTATTAGACGTCATCAACATTCATGTTTGATTTTCTGATCTGTGTCGGCGATTTGTGTTCCAGACTCTCTCTCTTATAGCACAATGCATGCACAAGGCATCTCAAAATGCTGAACAAAACAAGATAGCATAAAAATCACAATAATTATAGCACATTAAAAAGAAAGATAAAAATATTTATTATATGACTTGGACCATACGCGCGCTCTGATTGGCTGATTACCGGTCTGATATTTTCCCATCTCGGACCGTTACCATGACAATTGGTCCGAACAGCGCGTATCACATTTGATATCTTTCCTCGGACCGTTACCATGACAATCGGTCCACAGCCCGTATCACACAAAACCAAGTCGGACATGAACATACTTCACAAATATCTCAAAATCATTGGTAAAGACACAGACGAGAGTCATATAATAAAACATTTATTAACCTCGCTTGCTCGGTCTGTGCAGAGAAATATTAGACCGCAGCCTTAATGTACAGACCTCACCACGGCTCGGTCTGTACATTAAGGCCGCGGTCTGATATTTCCCCTTACAGACCTGGCGCTCGGTTAATAAGCCGTTAATACAGTTTTATACACAGCTAAACAATACTGTTTTTTACCAGTATGAAGTTGATAAACTCTGCGCAGGCTCGATTGTTAATGTCTGAGAGCAGTGACGTCATATCGGCAGTTCGCTGACTGCTGAAATTCGTATTCTCAAAGAAGAAATCACACATATAGTTTTATGGTTTTTTATTCTTAATTACAAAATTCCATGTCTTTTGAGTTCGTATTATCTTAATCACGAAATCATCAAATCCCGATAAATATGCACGCAATTTTTTTTAGACATGCACGTCTTTATTGACAGTAACCTTACCCCATAAGGCAGCCTCAGTCTTCCACTGAAGGAACTCCTCAACTCCTCTTTAGTCCCGTGCAGTGGGTGGGAGGTGTTGTCCGTGAGTGGCCATATAACATTTTGATTGGATTTCTTTCACCCTGGTTGAGTGGTCCGGGAGGGTCCGGGAGGGTCCGGGGTCTGAAGGTTCCTCCGCGGATTAGTGGCGAGGCTGCTCCTGGAATGTGGACTCAGCCGCCTCCAAAGACCAGTGTTTACCTTCCACTCTATTACAGGCCCTAATGGACTCTTTCTACAGTCTGACAGACCATTCACACCACACGAGCTGACCTACGACCCGCCATAGTTCTGTAAAGATGAAGAGGAGGAGATACTGTGTTTATTTTTTTTAACCAGGACAGTCCCATTGAGATTAAAAACTTTAGATACTTAGAAATGCAGTGTCCAGTAGCAGCAAAAATACAAAATAAAACTGATTATTCTAAAAAGCTAACAATAGCGATAACAAGATACACGGATTATAAAACCAGTTAATGAGGACGTCTGGATTTCAAAACATTTCCACCACGTTCCATGTAAAAGAAGCAGCATTTACACAAACCTTTTATCCCAGATCTGTGCAAAAAAAAAGAAGATAATTTGACGACAAGAATAATAACGAAGCTAGTATAAAATACCTATATAATCTCTAGCTTTAGCATAATAAAGAAGCTAGTATAAAATCTCTAGCTTTAGCATAATAAAGAAGCTAGTATAAAATCTATATCTTTAGCATAATAAAGAAGCTAGTATAAAATCTATATCTTTAGCATAATAAAGAAGCTAGTATAAAATCTATAGCTTTATCATAATAAAGAAGCTAGTATAAAATCTATAGCTTTAGCATAATAAAGAAGCTAGTATACGGTCTGTATATTCTTGTGCAGAATTATATACTTGTACGTTTATATCTGTACATTGCACATTTCTTCTGTGTGAGATCAATAAAGTCTATCTTATCTTATCTTATCTTACACGTTAGCCGCACGAGGGAATGCGACACAGTGAAGTGACACTGGAGACTTCTATATTGCACATGTTTATTGCACATCAGCACGACATGTGAGGTCGGGTCGTCAGTGTCCGTTAGTCCTAGCATTATCCTGCACAAAACGGCTGCTTTTTTCAATGTATTTAGTGAAGAAGCAGCTACATTATATGATTATTTTTTTCTAAAGTAGCTCTTTCACGACATACGCAGAGTCCAGATGACTTCCTGTTTTTCAAAGACACATGACTGAAGTCCGATAAGAGAAAAATACCATTCTTTTTCCACATTCTTGGATCACGTCACAACCATTATCTGCTTTCATCCATCGGTCTGTTTTAGAATAATAAACTAAAAAACACCACTCACCTTTTTTTGGGTTATTACAAAAGATAATGAGACTGTTTACTTTTTCATTCCATGTTTTAGAATTAGTAACTTAAGTTGAAAATGCATGGTGTTAAAGTATGAAGGACAAACAATGTAAACGCCTGCTATACCCCTTTGCTGCCACTAGAGGGAGTTTCATTTCTTGTTTTTGTTTTGTTTTTCTACGTGTTTCTATCTATCTAATGAGACAATTACATCATATTAGGACGGAAACAGGAGCTTTCAGACCAGAAGGGGCAGAGCTACACATCTGTACCAGTCTAAAACCCAGAGTCAGGACTAAACATGGGGAGGCTGCTCTTCAGATTCATGCTGCTAAAATCTGGAACAGTCTTCCTGAAGATGTGAGACAGGCCTCCTCTCTGACCATGTTTAAAACCAAGTTAAAAACAGTTCTGTTTAGCTGTGCTACAACTGAGGGATTTTATATTTGTATCTTTCTTTTTAATGTTCTGTGATTATTTATGATTTGAATGTTTTCTTGTTTTGTTCAGCACTTTGAGTTGCCTTGTGTCTGAATTGTGCTACATAAATAAACTTGCCTTGCCTTGCCTTGCCTAAAACCAGAACTAAAACCATCTCCAGGTCCGTGTTTAATCGGGTTAAAGCGTGAGGTCAGGAACACACACTCGTTCTGCATCACAACATGACAATCTGTTTTTTATCTTTACCTTTAAAGGGGTCGCTTAAAGACCTTATGACGGGTTTTTTAAAAAAAAATAGTGGATATCAAAATTGCATGACAATGTCAATTTGAAAGAGATTCCTGCAAAAAAATCCTATATTTTATAAAAAGAACGTGTTTTTCATGAATTTAAGTTGTCTATGCTCTAACCTGTGTGTGACGTCATAGCGGGTTACGCCCATGCATTGAAAACCATGGATCTATGCCACAGGACTGCCTTTTCTCTCTTCTCTCCACTGATGCCCAACACAATACTGCACTCTACAGGTGACAATTGCTCATTACACATAAATTGCCGTTTTGAGTGTGAAAAAGTGTACGAGGTGGGATTTGAACCCAAGTATCTGGATTGGCAGTCCATCGACACAACCACTGAACTATCTCGAACGAAATGATACAATCTAGTATTTATGTCAAACTCGCTGTACACGGCCTTGTCATCTTGAATATCCGCGAAAAAAGAACGAATACCAAATTGTAAACAACTTACAGCATTGAAACGTACCCGTTCTGACGTCACCAAGGGCTGTGAAGTTTTTTCGTTTCTAAGGGCGTTGCTATGGGGTTATTTCGATTTGGGGGGATCAGACAAAAAAAACAACAACTGATTTTGAAACCTTTAGTAGTTCTCTTCTAATATAAAATGGTATTAAAACTGTATTTCTAAATAAATCAAACCCGTCATAAGGTCTTTAACTCATTGACTGCCAGCCGTTTTTTGACGATTTCACTGATTTTAAAGGCCCACAGAATATTGTGTGCTATGACTATGTAAAAAAATGAAACCAGATTCTGAAAGACTGAATTGTCTACTTTCATCAGCAGAAATAAGTTTGTGTCTTGCTAGTTTTGTTCTCCTGTAATCCTCCGCCGAATAGAGGGAAGTTTGACAGAAATCACCAGTCTCAGACAAATACGTCAATGGCCGTCAATGAGTTAATTATTTCACTTCCACTTTCAAGTTTCAAAGAAGCAGCAGCGGCCTCAGCCCAATTAGCCTTTGCACGTCTTAGCCCAGGTCAGCGCTCTAAACTTTCGCTAAGCGCCTGAGCGTGTCCCGGGTCGGGGCCTGATCCTATTAAAGGCAGTTTATTTTTCACACCGTGCGGCTTCAGCGGGAGCCGTGGAGCGTGCCTTTCCGTTGGACCCATTAACTCCGTAGGGATCCAGTCTTTCCATAAGACGCTTGGGTTTACAAGTCGTACGTGATTAAACTTACAAGCAGATATAATGTCGGGATTTAGGACTCAGAGAAACGCATGTCTGTGGTAGTAACGCACATGCTGGAGAGAGTTGTGTAGTGTGTAGTGTGTGACTGGAGATTAGTCTTTGAAGGAATTGGAGCGAACTTTATCCACAATCTATACATGTGCAATTATTCCATCTCAGACGCATTACAGACATGCATTTGCTTCTTTATTAGGCTAAAGCTAGAGATTTTATACTAGATTCTTTAATATGCTAAAGTTAGATTTATTTACTATCTTCTTTATTATGCTAAAGTTAGAGATTTTAGACTAGCTTCTTTATTATGCTAAAGCTAGAGATGTTAGACTAGCTTCTTTATTATGCTAAAGCTAGAGATTTTATACTAGTTTCTTTACTATGCTAAAGCTAGAGGTTTTAGACTAACTTCTT